CCCACTCCAGTCCTCCACCTGACACCCAGACCCCAGGAAGCCGGCCTCCGGTGCCTGTGTGAGCCGTGCAGAGGCCGTGGGAGCAGTGCCCCCGCTTCCCCCCGAGGCCCCTCCTCACAGACGGGAACAGGACAGAGGGCCGGCCGGTCCCTGTGGGGCTCCTGAGCCAGGCGGCCGCCCCCCGTGTGCGGGAGGGGCAGCCACAGGCTCCTCCTTCCCTCTTCTCCTCACGTCCCCCCATCTGCCTCCGTGACCCCCGACCCCTCAGGCCGCGGAGTCGGGGGAGACCCGCCCCCGAGCGGCCACGCCGAGCTGCTCCTCTGCAGCCGTGACCGCAGCCAGTGCATCCGCATGAGGCCCGTCCTGCGTCATCACCGCAGCCAGTGCCGGCTGAGTCCCCGCGGCCTCGAGGCGCCCGGCGCTTCCGTTCCCGAACCGGGCCCTGCAGCCAGCCCGCCACGTCCCCTCCCGGGCCCTGCCTCCCGCCACCTCACAGGAGCCGAGCCTGCGGTCCCCCGGGGCCTCCCGGCCGGGAGCACCAAGCGGGAGTCTGGGTTGCAGGAGCGAGAGCTCGCCCTCTGATTCTTTTAAATCTGATGGTTTTGTGGATTTCAGAGAGGGAGGGAGGGGGAGAGAAACGGTAATGATGAAAACAATCTCAGAGGGAGGGTGGGGGTGTTAAGAGATTAACCAAAGAACGTAAATGTGCATCTGGGTAACCCCCGGACACAGCCGTGGGGGGGGGGGGGTCAGGCCAGAAGGGGTCCATGGGGAAAAGGGGGACATCTGTAATACTTTCAGCAACAAAGATTAAAAAAGAAAAATAGCCAAACCGGGTTGGCTCAGTGGATAGAGCGTCGGTCTGCGGACTGAAGGGTCCCAGGTTCGATTCCGGTCAAAGGCATGTACATTGGTTGCGGACACATCCCTGGTAAGGGGTGTGCAGGAGGCAGCTGGTCGATGTTTCTCTCTCATCAATGTTTCTAGCTCTCTGTCCCTCTCTCTTCCTCTCCGTAAAAAATCAATAAAATATATTAAAACAAAAAAAAATGGAAACAGCCCTAACTGGTTCGACCGTGAGGCCCAGCGCACACCCGGCCTCTGGCTGCAGCTGTGCTGGAAGGGCTTTGCCACCGGAGGACCCTCCCCTCAGTCCTTTTCCACCGGAAGTCACGGATCAGCGGCCCCTGCACGCCCCACCCTGGGGACCGAGCCCACCACCTGGGCGTGCGCTCTGCCTGGGAATCGAACCCTGACCTCCTGGGTCATAGGTCGATGCTCAGCCCCGAGCCACGCCGGCCGGGCTCCCCTGGAAAACCCGGTCACCTTGTTCCTGAGATGAGCCATTCTGAAAAAGGCAGGCTGGGAGCGCCCTCCCTCCCCGGGAGAGCGGTGGCCGTGGCTGCTGAGGGTCCGATCAGCCTCCCCCCTCTGTGGTGGACACACACACACACACACACACACACCCGCACACCCTGGCCCGGCGGGGGCTGTCCTGGGGGCTGGGAGGCCTGGGCCCCGGAAGGCGACCCCGGGCCCCAGTCCCACTTGCAGCTGTCAGAGGACCTGTGAGGCCCCGGCTCCCATTGGGAGCGGAGGGGTGTGCCGGCCGCCGAGGCCCAGGCCCTCCCAGCGGGAACAGCGCTGAGGGGGGTCTGGCCTGGAGGAGCGGACGGGCAGGTCCCTCGCCCCCTCCTCTCCCGGCGTGGCTCCTCGGGGACCCCGAAGCCAGGACAGAAGGTGAGAGGCCAGGAGAGGCCTCCGGGGCCTGGTGTCCCGCTGACCTTCCTCCCTCCACATCCAGGCGCCCGCCGTGTGTAAGCCCAGCTTGGCCAAGAGCCGCTGGGGCAACGCGGCTGTGAAACCAGGTTGCACACAAGCCCAGGTCTCCTTCCTGCTCCCAGGCCGAGTGCGCAACAGCCCCTCCACTCACCGCCCTTCCAGCCCCTGTCCAGGCCCCGAGGCCCGGCCCAGAGGCCGCCAGCAACCCAGCCGCCGATCACGCTGGCCTCACCTGTCCACGCCGCTGTCCACGCTGGCCTCGCCTCTGTCCACACTGGCCTCGCCTGTCCGCGCTGGCCTCACCTGTCCGCGCTGGCCTCGCCTGTCTGCGCTGGCCTCACCTGTCCACACCGCTGTCCACGCTGGCCTCGCCTCTGTCCACACTGGCCTCGCCTGTCCACGCTGGCCTCACCTGTCCGCACTGGCCTCGCCTGTCCGCGCTGGCCTCGCCTCTGTCCGCGCTGGCCTCGCCTCTGTCCGCGCTGGCCTCGCCTGTCCGCGCTGGCCTAGCCTCTGTCCGCGCTGGCCTCGCCTGTCTGCACTGGCCTCGCCTCTGTCCACGCTGGCCTCGCCTCTGTCCGCGCTGGCCTCGCCTCTGTCCGCGCTGGCCTCGCCTGTCCGCGCTGGCCTCGCCTCTGTCCGCGCTGGCCTCGCCTCTGTCCACGCTGGCCTCGCCTCTGTCCGCGCTGGCCTCGCCTCTGTCCGCGCTGGCCTCGCCTCTGTCCGCGCTGGCCTCGCCTCTGTCCACGCTGGCCTCGCCTCTGTCCACACTGGCCTCACGGCTGTCGTGCTGGCCTCGCCTGTCGTGCTGGCCTCGCCTCTGTCCACGCTGGCCTCGCCTGTCCGCGCTGGCCTAGCCTCTGTCCGCGCTGGCCTCGCCTGTCCGCGCTGGCCTCGCCTCTGTCCACGCTGGCCTCGCCTCTGTCCGCGCTGGCCTCGCCTCTGTCCACGCTGGCCTCGCCTCTGTCCGCGCTGGCCTCGCCTCTGTCCACGCTGGCCTTGCCTCTGTCCGCGCTGGCCTCGCCTCTGTCCACACTGGCCTCACGGCTGTCGTGCTGGCCTCGCCTGTCGTGCTGGCCTCGCCTCTGTCCACGCTGGCCTCGCCTGTCCGCGCTGGCCTCACCTGTCCGCGCTGGCCTCGCCTGTCCGCGCTGGCCTCGCCTGTCGCGCTGGCCTCGCCTGTCCACGCTGGCCTCGCCTGTCGCGCTGGCCTCGCCTGTCCGCGCTGGCCTCGCCTGTTGTGCTGGCCTCTCCTGTCCGCGCTGGCCTCGCCTGTTGTGCTGGCCTCTCCTGTCCGCGCTGGCCTCGCCTGTTGTGCTGGCCTCTCCTGTCCGCGCTGGCCTCTCCTGTCCGCGCTGGCCTCGCCTGTCCGCGCTGGCCTCGCCTGTCCACGCTGGCCTCACCTGTCCGCGCTGGCCTCACCTGTCCGCGCTGGCCTCGCCTCTGTCCACACTGGCCTCGCCTGTCCACGCTGGCCTTGCCTGTCCGCGCTGGCCTCGCCTCTGTCCACACTGGCCTCGCCTGTCCGCGCTGGCCTCGCCTCTGTCCACACTGGCCTCGCCTGTCCGCGCTGGCCTTGCCTGTCCGCGCTGGCCTCGCCTCTGTCCACACTGGCCTCGCCTGTCCGCGCTGGCCTCGCCTGTCCGCGCTGGCCTCGCCTCTGTCCACGCTGGCCTCGCCTGTCCGCGCTGGCCTCGCCTGTCCACGCTGGCCTCGCCTGTCCGCGCTGGCCTCGCCTGTCCGCGCTGGCCTCGCCTGTCCGCGCTGGCCTCGCCTGTCCGCGCTGGCCTCGCCTGTCCGCGCTGGCCTCGCCTGTCCGCGCTGGCCTCTGTCCACGCTGGCCTCGCCTGTCCGCGCTGGCCTCGCCCTCCCGGTGCTTCCCTCCAGCCGCCCGGCCTGTCTCCACTGGAGCAGAACCGGGAGCCGTCTGGGATCCAATCGGAGGAGACGGAGGCCGGGGAGCTTGGTGGGATGGTGCGGGGTGCGGGGCAGAGGGGAGGGAGCACGGGCACTGAGGCCTTGTGGTGGGGTGCGCGGCCTGGGGCCTGCAGGGCTGCGGGGAGGGCAGTGGGAGCAACGGGACTCCAGGCCCTGCCGGGCTGTGGAACCCGAGCCAGGAGGTCAGGGTTCCATCCTGGTCAGGGCACAGGCCCGGGCTGTGGGCTCCATCCCCAGCAGGGGGCGTGCAAGAGGCAGCCGATCCATGATTCTCTCTCATCATGGCTGTTTCTATCTCTCCCCCTCTCCCTTCCTGTCTGAAATCAATAAACATACATTTTTAAAAAAACCCTCCAGGCCCTGATGCCATTGGAAGGTAGGGGGGCTCCTGGAGGTGGGGGGGGAGGGGTGAAATGTGTTATCAACACCCAAAGGAGCCCCATGAGGACGGTGGTGATGGGGGGGATGGGGGGACGGTGGGGATGGGGGGGGACGGTGGGGATGATGGGGATGGGGGAACGGGGGGGATGGGGGAGACGGTGGGGGATGGTGAGGATGGTGAGGACGGTGGTGATGGGGGGATGGGGGATGGGGGACGGTGGGGATGGGGGGACGGTGGGGATGGGGGGGATGGGGGGATGGGGGACGGTGGGGATGGGGGGATGGGAAGGATGGTGGGGACGGTGGGGATGGGGGGGACGGTGGGGATGGGGGGATGGGGGGGATGGGGGGGACGGTGGGGATGATGGGGATGGGGGAACGGGGGGGATGGGGGAGACGGTGGGGGATGGTGAGGATGGTGAGGACGGTGGTGATGGGGGGATGGGGGATGGGGGGACGGTGGGGATGGGGGGACGGTGGGGATGGGGGGATGGTGGGGGATGGGGGGATGGGGAGGATGGTGGGGACGGTGGGGATGGGGGGATGGGGGGATGGGGGACGGTGGGGATGGGGAGACGGTGGTGATGGGGGGGATGAGGGGACGGACGGTGAGGAGGTTGGGGACGGAGGGGTGGGTGTCTGGGGCAGCCTGGAGCCTGGAGGAGGTGGGTCTGGAGGTTGTGGCTGCCCCTCAGAGGGAGGAAGTGAGGCTGTGCAGGGGCAGGCAGGGGTGGGGACCCGTGGGGAGCGTCCCAGGAGGAAGAGGAGCAGGTAGGAGATGGGGAAACCACTTCTTCACGTTGCACAGGGCCGACCTCGCCGCCCACCGCGCAGCAAGCCTGTGAGGCAACAGGGAGTGAGGCAAGCCTGGTGCCCATAAAGGGGGAGGGCGCCCATAAAGGGGAGGCCTGCAGCTGGGGGCCATCGCCATGGAGACCCAGGGGAGCTGCCTGTGCGGGGGGCGCCGGGCGCTGCTGCTGCTGCTGCTGCTGGGCCTGGCCATGCCCCCGCCGGCCGCCCAGGCCGCCCAGGCCCTGAGCTACCAGCAGGCCGTGCGCCTGGCCGTGCTGGGCTTCAACCAGCGCTCCCGGGAGCCCAGCCTCTACCGCCTGGTGCGGCTGGACCCACCGCCGCCGCCCGGCGTGAGTGGGGGGCCGGGGCGGGCTCGGACCCGGGACGCACAGAGCCCACCCCGGCCTCCCACCTCCTCCCCGCAGGGGGGCCGGGGCGGGCTCGGACCCGGACGCGCAGAGCCCACCCTGGCCTCCCACCTCCTCCCCGCAGGGGGGCCGGGGCGGGCTCGGACCCGGACGCGCAGAGCCCACCCTGGCCTCCCACCTCCTCCCCGCAGGGGGGCCGGGGCGGGCTCGGACCCGGAGGCACAGAGCCCACCCCGGCCTCCCGCCTCCTCCCCAGGACCTGAGCCCAGAGGCCCGCAGGCCCGTGAGCTTCACCCTGCAGGAGACCGTGTGCCCCAGGACGACGCGGCGGCCGCCCGAGGAGTGTGACTTCAGGGAGGAGGGGGTGAGCGGGGCTGGGCACCACAGACTGGCCACCACACAGGGGCCGGGCGGGGTGGGGGCCGGGGCGGCGGGGATGGGGGCCGGGCCGGGCGGGGTGGGGGCCGGGGAGGCGGCGGGGATGGGGGCCGGGGCCGGGCGGGGTGGGGGCGGGCAGGGTGGGGGCTGGGGCGGCGGGGATGGGGGCCGGGCCGGGCGGGGTGGGGGCCGGGGAGGCGGCGGGATGGGGGCCGGGCCGGGCGGGGTGGGGGCCGGGGAGGCGGCGGGGATGGGGGCCGGGCCGGGCCGGGCGGGGTGGGGCCGGGCGGGGTGGGGGCCGGGCCGGGCGGGGTGGGGGCCGGGCGGGGTGGGGGCCGGGCCGGGCGGGGTGGGGCCGGGCGGGGTGGGGGCCGGGCCGGGCGGGGTGGGGCCGGGCGGGGTGGGGGCCGGGCCGGGCGGGGGCCGGGCGGGGTGGGGGCCGGGGAGGCGGCGGGGTGGGGGCCGGGGCGGCGGGGGCCGGGCGGGGTGGGGGCCGGGCCGGGCGGGGTGGGGGCTGGGGCGGGGTGGGGGCTGGGGAGGCGGCGGGATGGGGGCCGGGCGGGGATGGGGGCCGGGCGGGGTGGGGCCGGGCGGGGGTGACCTGCGCCCCTTGCAGCTGCTGAAGGAGTGCTCGGGCTCCGTCATCCTGGACCCGGACAACGGCTACTTCGACGTCACCTGCGAGGAGGTGAGGGGGCGGGGGGACCGTGAACCGCTGCCTCCTGGCCGGGAGCCCCTCCCCTCACGCCCAGCCTGGTTCCCAGTGTGGCCCTCGCCCGCCCGGAGTGATAGGAAGGCCCCCTCCCAGCTCCCACCCCCACCCCTTGGCTTCAGACTCCGGGGAGGCCGCCTTCCGGAAGATTCCTGCTGAGCTGGGGAGGCCGTGGGGCCTGGGGGCCACCGGCCAGCTCCGGCCTGTTTCCCCGTCTGTTTGGGGACGGGTTCAAGCACAGGTCCCAGGGTCCCAGCCGGAGGGAGAGCCGGGCCCCTCGGGGGCCCAGGAAAGGGGGGCCTGGGGGGCTGCTGCCCCGGCCCAGCCCCAAGGAGCCGTCTCCTCCCCGCGCACAGATCAAGAAGGTCAATCTGGACAACCTCATCCAGAAAGGCCGGGAGAAGCTGGGCAGGCTGCGCGAGCTCTTCAGGAAAGGCGGGCAGAAGGTGGGCAAGCTCCTCCAGAAAGGCGGGCAGAAGCTGGGCGAGATCGGCCAGAGGATCAGGGATTTCTTCAGCAACCTGAGGCCCCGGGAGGAGGGCCCGCAGCCCCGGGGGGAGGGCCCGCAGCCCCCGGAGGGGGGCCCGCAGCTCCCGGAGGAGGACACTCAGCCTCAGGAGGAGTCCTGAGGGCCGTCGGCCCGGCTCCCACCTCCCGCCTCGGCCCCGACAATAAAACCCTGGAAAGCAGCCTCAGCCGTTCTCTGTCTTTTCTCGTCGCCGCAGTGCAGTCTGTGGGCTCTGTGTTTCTCTCTCTTCCTGAAAACCCGTAAATGGGGGCTGGGGGTGGGGCCTTGGGCGGCGGCCCCGTTGTGGGAGCAGCGTCCTGTGCCGGAAGGTTCCGGTTGGTTCCGGTTGGCCCCGGTCAGGCACACGCCGTGGTCTCAGGGCCCAGCCCAGGCCCGGGTGCGTTTGGGAGGCATCCAGCCAATGGTTCTCGCTCACAGTCTCCTCTCCCTTCTCTCTCCCTCTCGCCCTCTCTCCCTCTCTCCCCTCTCTCTCCCTCTCCCCTCGCTCCCCCTCTCCCTCTCTCCCTCTCTCTCATCCCTCTCTCTCCCTCTCTCCCTCTCATCTCTCCCCTCCTCCCTCTCCGCCCTCTCTCTCTCTCCCCCTCTCTCTCGCCATCGATCCCTCCTCCCCTCTCTGCCCCTCGCCTCCCTCCCTCCTCCTTCCTCCTTTCCTCTCTCCCTCGCGTCTCCTCTCTCTCTCTCTCTCTCTCTCCCTCTCTCTCCCTCTCTCCTCTCTCTCTCTCCCTCTCTCCCTCTTCTCTCCCTCTCTCCCTCCTCTCCCTCTCTCTCCCTCCTCCCTCTCTCTCTCCCTCTCTCCTCTCTCTTCTCCCTCTCTCCCTTCTCCCTCTAGCCCCTCTCCTCTCTCCCTCTCTCCCTCCCTCTCTCCCTCTCTCCTCTCTCCCTCTCTCTTCCCCCCCCTCAAAATCAATAAAAACAAAAACAAACCCTTGGGTGAGGATTAAGGCCGGCGTGGCTCAGGGGCTGAGCGTCCACCTAGGAACCAGGAGGTCACGGTTCGATTCCCGGTCGGGGCCCAGGCCGGGTTGTGGGCTGGATCCCCCATGGGGGGCGAGCAGGAGGCAGCCGATCCGTGCTTCTCCCTCATCACCGATGTTTCCCTCTCGCCCTCTCCGTCCCCCTTCCTCTCTGAAATCAATAAAACATATGAAGATAAACAAATAGAAGCAGTAAGCACACGTCCTCGGCGGACGAAACGAGCCAGGACCCTGGCGGCTCCGAGGAGCCGGCCCCAGCCCCCCTCCGGGAGCCGCGGGGAAGGCGCCGGCGACATGGGCGGGAGAGGCCCTCCGGCTGAGGACTCCGTTACTTCACGTGTGTGTGTGTGGGGGGGGAAGAGTGCAAGGGGGCACCCCAGAAGGCACCCCTAACTGCCGTGACTCGGGGCGTTTGGGCTTCTCAGACGGGCACCCCGGGAAGGGAGCCCCAGACTCACCTGCTCCCCGGGGAGAGGGCCAGCACTGCCCCCCGGACGGCCCTCAGGGTCACCCCGGGCCTCCGAGGGCGCCACCCCCGGCTCACAGACCCCAGCGTCTCAGAACGGGCCCCTCAGACGCGCGAGCGAGCGCGGGTCCGGGGAGGGAGTCACAGTCGGAGTCACAGTCGGTGAAGGATGGAGGTGAGGATCCATCAGAGATCAGCCTCAGGCCTGTCTGATGCCGATAAGCAGAACCAATGGACACCCCGTCGGGGGCTGGGACCGGCCAATGGGAGGGGAGGGGAAAGGAGACACATGTAATACTTTCAACAATAAAGAATTTATTTATTTTTTAAATCAAGCCCTGACCGGTGTGGCTCATGGATAGAGCGTCGGCCTGCGGACTGAAGGGTCCCAGCTTCGATTCCAGTCAAGGGCAAATGCCCAGGTTTCGGACTCGATCCCCAGTAGGGGGCGTGCAGGAGGCAGCCGATCAATGATTCTCATCACTGATGTTTCTTCCCCTATCTGAAATCATAAAAATATTTAAAAAATAAAATAACTCTTCCTTAAAAAAAAAAAATCCATTATAGTCTCAGGTCTAATTGCAGCAGAATGAGTTTCCCCTCAATAATGCACTTATGTTGAGTCTTTTTTTTTTAAATCCTCACCTGAGGATATTTTCCCATTGATTTTTCCCTTCTCCCTCTCTCTTCGTTATTTTTATTTTACTTTATTTATTTACACGCACACACCCCCCCCCCCCCCCCCCCGTCCATTGATTTTTAGAGAGAGTGGAAGAGAGAGGGAAAGACAGAAACCTGGATGTGAAAGAAACACATGGATTGGTTGTCTCCTGCAGGGGCCTGGGGCAGGGGAGGAGCCTGCAACCCAGCCCTTGACCGGAATCGAACCCGGGACCCTTCGGTCTGCAGGCAAACGCTCTATCCACTGAGCCACACCGGCTGGGGCTTATGCTGTGTCTCAGATAGAGGCATGGCTGAGCCAGCTCCCAGCTCTGTGGCAGACACTCTGAGTGCCACCGACGTGTGGCCGGGCCGGCCCTGGGCTGTGGGCGCTGAACCTGCACGCTGAGGACAGACACGGACTGTGGGCGGAACCTGCAGCTGGACGGGGGAAGTAGACGGTGGCCTTCTTCCTGGGCCTTGAGTTGGAATTCAAACCTTCCTCTCTGACCCTGGGCCTGGGACATTGGACTTGGCCGGAAACCAGACCTCAGACCTCAGGGAGGTTCCTGGATGGCCCTGGACCTGGGCCCTGACCTCAGACATGGTCTCTGCTCAGGAACCCGAACGCCTGAGAGGGTTTGGACCCTGGATCTGACCTACTGCCTGGACCTCAGGCCTGGATGTGGAATGAACTGGTCCCTGAACTCTGACCTACTCCTAGACATTTGACCTCCAACTGTGTACCTGGCATGAGATGTGGACCTTGGACCTGGATCAGACCTGGAATTTGGACTTGGACCTTCTTGCCCTGGCTGTTTCTTTAAAAAATTATTTTTTAATTAATTTTTTACAGAGTGGGAGAGGGATAGTTAGAAGCATCGATGAGAAACATCCATCACTTGCCTCCTGCATGCCCCCTACTGGGGATTGGGCCTGCAACCCAGGCATGTGCCCTTGATTGGAGTTGAACCTGGGACCCTTCAGTCTGAGGGCCAATGCTCTACCCACTGAGCCACACCGGCTAGGGCTATTTCTTCATCTCCTTTGTTGGCTTGTGCAAATATTTGTTCTCACAAATTCTGTGTGAATTCCAGGCTCACTGATGTAGATTGTCATGATATGGCCCCAATAGTTCACACCTCCCAGCGTCCCTCCCTTATGCAGGCCCTTGCCAAATGGACGCTTTGGCCAATGGGGTGTTAGCGAACGTGACAGGAGCTTGTGAAGGGGTGGGGCTGGCCCCTGGGGGCCCTGAGCCACATGCCGGGAGGAGCTCAGGAAAAGCCCCCGGGACCCTCCGCCCAGCGCAGCCACCAGTGAGCCCGGCACCCACCCTGCCGATCGACAGACACATCAGAGCAAACGACTCCTCTCTCTCTCTTATTAAAAATATATTTTTATTGATTTCAGAGAGGAAGGGAGAGGACAGAAACACTGATGATGAGAGAATCATGGATCGGCTGCTCCTGCGTGCTCCCCTTAGGTGCCCCTGACCGGATCTGAACCCGGGACCCTTCAGACTGCAGGCCGGCGCTCTGTCCACTGAGCCACACCGGCCAGGGCGTGATTACTCCTCTCTTAAGCAACTACACGGCCTCTGTTCACATAAAGGCCCCCCTCCCCCGCCCAGGAAGCAGGTCTGGGCCGGCGTCCAGCGGGATCGGAGCCCACACTCGCTCCGTCCCGGTGCTCCCGCACGTGGGCTGCACCGTGTGGACCCGGGAGAGGTCTGCAGGGCTCCCCTGCCCGGAGCAGGGGGGGGCCTCCGGGGGCTCAGTGACTCCATAGGGACCAGCACCCGAGCAGTCGCCTCGCAGGGAGACAGAGGCCGAGCCTGGGTACAGTCACCCGGCAGGCGGGGGGCTCCCCCGCCCCGAGAAGGGTGAGCAGTCTGAGGAGGAGGAGGAGCAGCCCCGCTCCGTTCCCGGGCCCCCGACCAGCCCAGCGCGGAGCAGAGCGCCAGGCCGAGGCAGGCAGCGCGGAGCCAGGCGGCAGGCGGGTGGTGCCCAGCGGCCTCGGCGCCATGAGCCCCGGCCCCCATCCAGCCCTCAGACCGCCGGGCCGCCTGTGCCCGCTGCGCAGTGGACGGGACCCCAGCCCGGCCCCCATCCAGCCCTCAGACCGCCGGGCCGCCTGTGCCCGCTGCGCAGTGGACGGGACCCCAGCCCGGCCCCCATCCAGCCCTCAGACCGCCGGGCCGCCCGTGCCCGCTGCGCCCGGCCCCCATCCAGCCCTCAGACCGCCGGGCCGCCCGTGCCCGCTGCGCCCGGCCCCCATCCAGCCCTCAGACCGCCGGGCCGCCCGTGCCCGCTGCGCCCGGCCCCCATCCAGCCCTCAGACGGCCGGGCCGGGGTCAGGCCGGGCCGGGGTCAGGCCGGGCCGGGGTCAGGCCGGGCCGGGGTCAGGCCGGCCGGGGTCAGGCCGGCCGGGGTCAGGCGGGCCGGGGTCAGGCCGGCCGGGGTCAGGCGGGCCGGGGTCAGGCCGGGCCGGGGTCAGGCCGGGCCGGGGTCAGGCCGGGCCGGGGTCAGGCCGGCCGGGGTCAGGCCGGGCCGCCCGTGCCCGCTGCGCAGTGGACGCCGCCCTCCGGGCTGTAGCGCACGGGACCCCAGCGCCACCGCGGCTCCTCCTCCTCGTACCAGCGCTGCTCACTGAAGTCCGGGAAGAAGGCCGCGATCTCCCTGCTGGCCGAGGCCACGGAGTCTGCAGCGGGGTGGGGGGGCCGGGAAAGAGAGAGAGAGAGAGAGAGAGAGAAGGGGTCGATCGGGAGGGCAGAGTGCAGGCAGGAGGCGGGGCCGTCAGGGTCAGAGCCCCTTTCCTCAGTCCCTGGGCCACATGCGTGGCTGGGCCACAAAGGGCCAGAAACGCAGGAGGGAAGATGCTCCCTGTCGTGTGTCCCCCGCCCCCCTGCCCTCTGGGCCGAGGCCGGGAGCAGCCTACCGGAGCCGTGGGTGGTGTTGCGGGTGTCGGTGAGGCCCAAACTGCCCCGGATGGAGTCGGGGGCCACGTGGCGCGCCCGGAACACCCTGGTGGGCCCCATCAGCGTCCTCCAGCGCTGGATGGCGTCCGGGTGGGCGAGGATGTAGGCCCGGATGGGCCCGCTGGGAACCAAGGGCCACGTGTCAGGCGTCTGGCCACCGGGCGCGGGGGCACGCCGGAGCGGGTCACAGGTCAAGGCGCCCTGCAGCCCTCAGACCGCCGGGCCGGGGTCCGGCCGGCGTGGCTCAGGAGGGGACACTGAGGTCAGGTTCCACTCCCGGCAGCGCACAGGCCCGGGCTGAGGGCCTGATCCCCAGTGTGGGGCGTGCAGGGGGCGGCCGCCCCATGGCTGTCTCCTCACTGATGTTTCCCTCTCTCCCCCTCTCCCTTCCCCTGAAATCAATAGAAATACGTTTTTATAGATGGCGTGCTGTGCACCCTGAGGTTTCCGGGCCTTTCTCGCTGGATGCCGACGCTGCTACCATAGGCGGCGAGGGCTACGGCTCATGGCCCAGCGCGCCGGAAGGCCAGCCGGTGCTGGGCAGAACCAGCAATACGCCGCTGGGCCGGGCACCTCAGGGGACGGCCGCCAGGCAGCATGGCGAGTCCGAGCCCCGAGGTCACGCTTCTGGACACTGATCACAACCTAAGAGTGGCCGGTACCACCTGTGCGCCTCTCAGGGGCGGCCCGTCTGGGTACCACCTGTGCACCTCTCAGGGGCGGCCCGTCTCGGTACCACCTGTGCGCCTCTCAGGGGCGGGGCCGTCTCGGTACCACCTGTGCACCTCTCAGGGGCGGGGCCGTCTGGGTACCACCTGTGCACCTCTCAGGGGCGGGCCTATCTCGGTACCACCTGTGCACCTCTCAGGGGCGGGCCGTCTGGGTACCACCTGTGCCTCTCAGGGGCGGCCCGTCTCGGTACCACCTGTGCACCTCTCAGGGGCGGCCCGTCTCGGTACCACCTGTGCACCTCTCAGGGGCGGCCCGTCTGGGTACCACCTGTGCACCTCTCAGGGGCGGCCCGTCTGGGTACCACCTGTGCACCTCTCAGGGGTGGCCCGTCTGGGTACCACCTGTGCGCCTCTCAGGGGCGGGCCGTCTGGGTACCACCTGTGCACCTCTCAGGGGCGGCCCGTCTCGGTACCACCTGTGCGCCTCTCAGGGGCGGCCCGTCTGGGTACCACCTGTGCACCTCTCAGGGGCGGCCCGTCTCGGTACCACCTGTGCACCTCTCAGGGGCAGGGCCGTCTGGGTACCACCTGTGCGCCTCTCAGGGGCAGGGCCGTCTCGGTACCACCTGTGCACCTCTCAGGGGCAGGGCCGTCTGGGTACCACCTGTGCGCCTCTCAGGGGCGGCCCGTCTGGGTACCACCTGTGCGCCTCTCAGGGGCAGGCCCGTCTCGGTACCACCTGCGCCTCTCAGGGGCGGGCCGTCTGGGTACCACCTGTGCGCCTCTCAGGGGCGGGCCGTCTGGGTACCACCTGTGCACCTCTCAGGGGTGGCCCGTCTGGGTACCACCTGTGCGCCTCTCAGGGGCGGGCCGTCTGGGTACCACCTGTGCACCTCTCAGGGGCGGGCCGTCTCGGTACCACCTGTGCACCTCTCAGGGGCAGGGCCGTCTCGGTACCACCTGTGCGCCTCTCAGGGGCGGCCCGTCTCGGTGGGTAAAGAGCCCAATCCCACACGGGGCCACAGCAGCAGCCCCCGAGGGCTGCCGGGAGTGCAGTGGCTGACATCAGGCGCAGCGGGAGGGTGGACGCACCTGGCCATGAACTCCACCAGCCGCTGGTAGAAGAAGCGCCCTGCGGAGAGAGCGCCCGCGTGAGCACACAGCCCGCAGCCCCGCGCCCCAGCCTGGAAGGCTGACGGCTTGACGAGGAGCGGAAGCCGGCCGTGCAGCCTGGCGCCCCGGGGGCCGAGGCCCGGCTCCGCCCCTTACACCTGGGCCGCGTGGCCCAGCGGCTCCCTGTGCCTGGGGACATGACAATGCCCGCTGGAGGGTCACCTGAAACAGGAGCTCAGCCCAGCCCAGGGCGCAGTGGGGAGAGCGTGGGCCCTCGGCCGGAGGACCCGGTTCTGTTCCCGTCAAGGGGGTCCCAGGCTCCGATCCCCAGATCCCCAGCCCCGGTTGGGGCGTGTGCAGGAGGCAACCAATCAATGTGTCTCTCTGTCCCTCCCCTTCCCTTCCCCTCTCCAAAACTGCGTGGAAAGATACCCTCCGTGAGGATTAACACAGAAACAGCGTTGGGAGGAGGTCTGAAGAGGGAACATCATGGTCGTAAATCTGAGCTTCCTGCTGGGGTGACGAGTTTCCAGAGGGGGGGAGTGACCGGGTCCAGGGCACCCTCTGTGCCTCCGGGCGGGCGGGCGGGGGAGTGACCGGGTCCAGGGCACCCTCTGTGCCTCCCGGTGGGCGGGCGGGGGAGTGACCGGGTCCAGGGCACCCTCTGTGCCTCCGGGCGGGCGGGGGGGGGGAGTGACCGGGTCCAGGGCACCCTCTGTGCCTCCGGGCGGGCGGGCGGGCGGGGGAGTGACCGGGTCCAGGGCACCCTCTGTGCCTCCCGGCGGGCGGGCGGGGGAGTGACCGGGTCCAGGACACCCTCTGTGCCTCCCGGCGGGCGGGCGGGGGAGTGACCGGGTCCAGGGCACCCTCTGTGCCTCCGGGCGGGCGGGGGGGGGGGGAGTGACCGGGTCCAGGGCACCCTCTGTGCCTCCGGGCGGGCGGGCGGGGGAGTGACCGGGTCCAGGGCACCCTCTGTGCCTCCCGGCGGGCGGGCGGGGGAGTGACCGGGTCCAGGGCACCCTCTGTGCCTCCTGGTGGGCGGCCCACCTTCGTGCTCCTGGTAGAAGCGGCGGCAGTCTTCCCTCCTCCACACCAGCTCTCTCCGCCGCACGATGAGGAGCTGGCTGCTCAGGATCTGCTGGTGGACGGCCTGGCGGGCACCACACACACGGTCAGTCGGGCGGGGAGGGACCAGGGGCCCAGGCCAGGAGAGATGGTGGGTGAGGGGAAGGCCTTTGGTCACATGACCAGCATGTGAGCCTGGGTGGAGGGGCAAAGTGCTGGCTGCCCTTCTGCTCTGGCCATCCCAACAGCCTCTCCCTGGTGGCCCTGCTGCCGCCTCCCACTCTCTCCCCATCACACCCGGTGAACACACATCAACCACCCTGATAACTCTTTCCCATCAATCACACCCGGTGAACACACATCAACCACCCTGATAACTCTCCCATCAGTCACACCCGGTGAACACACAACAACCACCCTGATAACTCTCCCATCAGTCACACCCGGTGAACACACATCAACCACCCTGATAACTCTCCCATCAATCACACCCGGCGAACACACATCAACCACACCTGATAACTCTCTCCCATCAATCACACCCGATGAACACACATCAATCACCCTGATAACTCTCTCCCATCAATCACACCCGGTGAACACACAACCACACCTGATAACTCTCTCCCATCAGTCACACCTGGTGAACACACATCAACCACCCTGATAACTCTCTCCCATCAATCACACCCGGTGAACACACATCAATCACTCTGATAACTCTCTCCCATCAGTCACACCTGGTGAACACACATCAACCACACCTGATAACTCTCTCACATCAATCACACCGGTGAACACACATCAATCACCCTGATAACTCTCTCCCATCAATCACACCTGATAACTCTCTCCCATCAATCACTCTGATAACTCTCTCCCATCAGTCACACCCGGTGAACACTCTCTCCCACCACACCTGATAACTCTCTCCCACCAATCACACTCGGTGAACACACATCAATCACCCTGATAACTCTCCCATCAGTCACACCCAGTGAACACTCTCTCCCACCAATCACACCCGGTGAACACACATCAACCACACCTGATAACAGTCTCTCTACCATCACACTGGTGAGTCAGACAGGCCACCATCTTGGCCACCGGCCATTAGCTTAGGGGTGGCTCCCCTTTCTGCGGACCGCTGGCCCTCACCTGGGCACCAGGGGGAGCCCGTCCTTCCCTGAGGCCGGGCCTGGTCCCAACACCTGCAGACGCCCTGCTGGCCGCCCATGGGGGCCCACTAGGCGCTGCCGGCGACCATCTATGAACAACTCCCAGATGAACGCGGCCCCTCCAGGACTGCGGACACCGTGCACACGGGGACACGGCTCTGGGGCGTGATGCTGGCCGCCATCAGCTGACTCTGCTTTCATCAAGAGGGAGAGGATCTGGCCAGGCCAGCGCATCACAGGATGCACCAGATCTTTAAAAGCAGAGCTGTGGCCCTGACCCATGTGGCTCAGTGGACAGAGCGGTGGCCTGCGGACTCAAGGGCCCAGGTTTGATTTCGGTCAAGGGCATGGACCTTGGTTGTGGGCACATCCCCGGTAGGGGGTGTGCAAGAGGCAGCTGGTCGATGTCTCTCTCTCATCGATGTTTCTGGCTCTTTCTCTCCCTCCCTTCCTCTCTGTAAAAAATCAATAAAATATTAAAAAACACACACAAAAAACAAAAAAAACCCCAAACCACTAACAGGTACTGGTCTCAGCTGCTGTGTTTACGGTGACTGCTGTGCAGCCACAGAGAGCTAGTACACAGACACTGTCTTGAGGGGGTTTGCTTGTGTTATTGTGGTTACGTCTTCTACGTTACACCTGCCCTGACTCGCCAACAGATCGTTATCGTCTTTTAGGGTCTGGTTCCTGGCTCCCGGCTTTGCCTCCAGGGCAGTGGTCGGCAAGCTCAGGAGTCCACAGAGCCAAACAGCATACAACCATCGACGTTTCTTTAGAGAGCCAAGTTTTTTAAACTTAAACTTCTTCTCACGCCACGTCTTCCACACAGACTCGCCCAGGCCGTGGCGTTTTGTGGAAGAGCCACACCCGTGAGCCGCCGATCGCCGACCACGGCTCTGTGGTCCCTCACGGGTGGCCCTGCGCCTGGAGCTGAGCGGGGCCAGGTGCGCCCCCAGAGGCGCGGCCCGTCTTACCTCCAGAATCAGTGGGTGGGCTACGGCGTCGGGCTTGACGAGGGCCAGGGTGAGCTGCAGAGCCTGAGGGCTTCGCCAGGCGGAGGCCATCTCGCTTCCGCGCCTGCTCCTGCCGGCAGAGCCGGGTTAGGGCCCCGTGGGGGCTGCTCGGCCCCCCCCACTCCTCCAGCCACGCAGCCCTGCAAGCTGACCCGGCGCCCCGCCCCCTCACACGCATAAAGCACACGACAGCCACATAGGAAGGCTGCATACATGGCTACTGCACACGTGTCTACACTGCTGTATTTAATGTAAGGTGACCAGACCATCCCGCTTTTGGCAGGACAGTCCCGATTTTCAACAATTTTTCCCGCGTCCCACGGCGTTTTAAAAAAGTCCCAATGGTGGGGCGATCTGGTCACCTTAATTTAATGCCTCTTTGTGCTCATGGGGCTGGGGTTGGGGGCGGGCAGGGGGCCCTCAGTTGCCCTGTGGAGCGCACGATCTGGTCTGGGCCCCGGTAAACCCATTCAGAGAAATCCCGGTTTAAACACCGCCCGTCTCTCCCTCCCTCCCTGTCCTGTCTCCCAGAGCAGTGTTCACCAGGAACTTCTCAGCCCGCCCGAGCGGACAGCCAGGATGTCCACCCGCCGGCCCCCTCGCTGGGTTTGCCCTCCCATCCATCCCAGGACCGGAAGATGCACGGACAGGAATGGGGTGTGGGCAGGATGCCACAAGCCTGCTGGACGCACCCCCCCTCTATCCAGGACCGTCCTGCCCGCCCCAACCCCTCGGCGGCCTGTCCTCGGCGGCCAGGCTGAGGACACACGGGCCACCCCACGCTCGGGGCCTGGGCACCCACTCCTGTCCGGCAGCTCGGAGTGCCTGCGGGGCCCGGTCACTTCCGCTGTGTTTGCTTCTTGCTGTTTTTACTTTCCTGCTTGACCAACTCCACTGACTGAATGCACCCGCATGGTCTTAGCTCGTTCATCTCCGAGTTTCCAGCGTCTAAGCTGGAGGAGCCAAGGACAAATGTGGGATGGTAGGAAGGACGAAAAGCATTTTACGGTTAGGTCTCTGGCCGGGGAGGCTGTGAGGGCTCCTCCAGCTGTGGATTCTGTTTCTCGGTGAGAAATCGACCACCAGGTCCCCAAAGGCCAGCGGCGGAACCCCTGAATCTGCCCCGAACGGGGCGGCGCCCGCGGACACACGGACGGTTCGAGGCCCGAAGCGGCCCCACAACCGCGCTCGGGTGGCGCAGGTCTGGCCCCGGGCGCCGGGCTCCGGTCCACGGCCCGGCCCGGCCCCGGGCGCCCCCGCCCCCGCCCCCCGGCCCGGTCTCGGCGCGGGCCCGGGCCCTCGCCCCCTCCATCCCCCAGGCTGCGGCCGCGGGGCCCTGCCCCCGTACCCGGGGCCTCAGGGCACCAGACTCCGGGTTCGGAGCCCCAGTCCCGTCGGAGTTCGGTCCGATCCACCTCCCCCTCCGGGCACGTCACGTGGCCAGCAGGCGCCGAGCTGGCCAGCCCCGCGGCCCGCGCGGGGTCCTTCAGGCGCGCGGCGGGCAGACCCGGGGTCCTCGCCGCGAGCGGAACCGGAAGCAGAGGGGCGGTGCTAAGAAGCCCTGGGCGGCGCCGCGCGGTGAGGCCCCCAGGGCTCCCGGGGGCAGGTCCTTGTGGGCGGGGGGCCGCGGACCCCGGTCGCTCCCGCGTCCGTCCTCGGAGGAAGCCGCCCCTCCGAGCCCGGCGCGGGCGCCCCCTTGCGGCGGGGAGGGGGCGGGGGAGCGGGAGGGGGAGCGGGACGGGGCGGGGACGGGGCGGGGCGGGGACGGGGCGGGGCGGGGAGGGCGGCCAGGTGCCCCAGTGCCTGCGGGGCCGCCCGCCTGTCCCCGGCCCGGGCATTCCGAACCTCCGGTTCGGTTCCGGTCTCTGGAGCCGCGTCTCGGGTGCGGACTGCCGTGCCGCCCGCCCGCCATGCGCTCAGCTCCGCGGGGACCAAGCCCGCAGCCTGTAACCCGCCGCCCCGGAGGCGCCCGGGCCTCTTTAAAGGTTCCGATTCGCCAAGGAAGCGCTGCAGCCACGTTTCTGCCGGAACGTTTACTGAGAGGCCGGGCCCCGGGGACCCGGATGGGCAGGGTGCGGGCCGGGCCCCGGGCCCCGGATGGGCAGGGTGCGGGCCGGGCCCCGGGGACCCGGATGGGCAGGGTGCGGGCCGGGCCTCCGGGGACCCGGATGGGCAGGGTGCGGGCCGGGTCCCGGGGACCCGGATGGGCAGGGTGCGGGCCGGGCCCCGGGGACCCGGATGGGCAGGGTGCGGGCCGGGCCCCGGGGACCCGGATGGGCAGGGTGCGGGCCGGGCCCCGGGGACTCGGATGGGCAGGGTGCGGGCCGGGCCCCGGGGAAGGAGAGGAGGGTCTGCCGGGGCAGCCGCGGTGGTGACGTGCCGGCGGGTCCATCAGGGGTTTTCCTGCGGAAGAAGCGTCTGCTCAGCGCAGCCGCCGGGGCGGTGACCGGACCCCGCCGGGGCCGCCCCTCCGCCCCGGAGGGACCTGCGGGCCGGGGAGAGGCCAGACCCAGGGGGAGTGGGGACAGGAGCCTGGGGCAGGGAGAGCGCAGGGCGGCCAGACACTGAATTATAATCCAGGGATGTGGCCTCGCCCTGGCAGCTTAACCGTCCTTGGAGTTTGGGAAGTTTTTGAGTCTTGAGGAAAAAGGTTAGTTTCCAGACACAATAGTTTTCGTTTGTTTTGAGTGATGTAATATTCCTCATTTGTTTTCCAGTTGGCTGTTACTGCTGTAAAGAAAAGTTATTGAGCCCGGCCGGCGCGGCTCGGGATAGAGCGTCAGCCTGCGGATGAAGGGTCCCGGGTTCGATTCCGGTCAAGGGCATGTACCTTGATTGCCGGCACATCCCCAGTAGGGGGTGTGCAGGAGGCAGCTGATCCATGTTTCTCTCTCGTTGATGTTTCTGACTCTCTATCCCTCTTCCTTCTTCTCTATAAAAAAAGTCAATAGAACATATTTTTTTAAATCAATAAAAAATATATATATTTTAAAAATGAAGTTATTGAGCCCGTCTGGCACTGCTCAGGGGTTGAGCATCAACCTAGGAACCAGGAGGTGGCAGTACAAGTCCTGGTCATGGTACATGCCCCAGGTTGCAGGCTCCACCCCCAGTAGGGGGCGTGCAGGAGGCAGCCGATCAGTGATTCTCTCTCATCATTGATGTTTCTGTCTCTCTCACCCTCCCCCTTCCTCTCTGAAATCAATAAAAACATATATTTTTTTAAAAAATTAAATAAGACAGCCTTGTTGGTGTGCAAGAAAGTGTCCACACTTCCTAGAGAAGTGCTCTGCAGTGTGTGGGAATCGAATACCATGATTTCGAGGTCTGTGGTAGGAAACTTCAGCGAAGGAAAGGAAACGAGGGGGGAAAGTGGCAGACACTGCGCTTTGTAGAGTCTACGTGGTAGGCATATGAGGTTTATGATGTTACTGTCTATGCTTGAGGTTTTTCATAACAAAATATTTAAAATTCTCTACTATGGTGAGCTCTTAACTATATTTGGTTTACTCCTAAAAATTAAAAATAAAAAGTGACTTTACTTACGCATGGTCCATCATGCAGTTTAGTTATGTTAAGCTTTTTATATCTGAAAGAAATTTTATTTTGAAATGATTATTTTTGCTCTATAAGTTATGACTTTTACTTAATAATCTAAGTTTGAGAAGAAAACATTCTGCTAATAGTGAATTCTTAATAAGTACTTTAAAATATCTACTACATAGATCTTTATTTGTCAAAGAGAGTGAACATATAAAATATACTCGGCCTTAATTCAAATATAGAAAATTCAGCCGGGACCGATTTGGCTCAGTGGATAGAGCATTGGCCTGTGGACTGAAAGGTCCTGGGTTTGGTTCCGGTCAAGGGCATGTACCTTGGTTGCGGGCACATCCCCAGTGGGGGGTGTGCAAGAGGCAGCTGGTCGGCGTTTCTCATCAACGTTTCTAACTTTCTGTCCCTCTCAATTCCTCTCTGTGTAAAATCAATAAAATATATACAAAAAAAAAAAAATTCAGTCATCTTGAATATTTAATAATAGTACGTATTAGAAAGAGAATGTACATTAAAGTATTCACTTGATGAAAGTTAAAGCATTACTAGTGACCTTAAAGAAATAATAACTATAAGGGAATACTATGAACAATTGCACATCAATAAATTAGATATCCTAGATGCAATAGACAAATTCCTAGGAACACTCGAATTACCTAATCTGACTAAAGAGAAAACAAAATCCACAGACCTGTATCAGGTAAAGAGATCGAATCAATAAAAAAACTAATAAGAGTTCAGAATCCGATGTTTTCACTAGTAAATTCTAACAGACATTTTAGGAGGATTTAATACCAATCCTTCTCAAACTCTTCCAAATGATAGAGGAATAAAACTCCCTAATCATTTTATGAAGCCAGAATTTAGTCAAAGACATCATAAAAAAGGGAAGCTACAGCCCTAGCCAGCTTGGCTTGGTGGACTGAGCGTCAGCCTGCAGACTGAAGGGTCCCAGGTTCCTTCATTCCAGTCAAGGACCTCTTCCTGGGATCCCCAGTAGGGGGCGTTCAAGAGGCAGCCAACCAATGATTCTCATTAATGTTTCTATCCTTTCTGAAATCAATAAAGAAGTTATATTAAAAAAAGAAAAAAAGAAACTACAGACAAATGTCCGTCATGAATATGATGCAAAAATTCTCAACTAAATACTAGGAAATTGGAGCCAATGAATATTAAAAATTATACATTCTGATTAAGTGGTGTTTTTTTTTTACCCATGAGTGCACTTAATAACCTAAAGTTATCAAGCAGTGTAATAACATTGGTCAAACAAAGGAGGAAAATACGTTTTTCTCTCTTAAAATTTTTTTTAATTGATTTCAGAGAGGAAGAGAGAAAAGCATCAGTGATGAGAGAGAATCATTGATTGGCTGCCTTCACGCCCCACACTGGGGATGGAGCCACAAGGGGGCATGTGCCCTGACCAGGCACCTGAACCATAACCTGGTTCATAGGCCAGCGCTCCACCACTGAGCCACACGGCCGGGGAGCACAGGGGAGAAGGGCAGAGATGGGGGGCAGTCGTGGAGGAGACTGGAGGGAAGATGGCCGAGGAGGAAGCCCTCTGAGGGCCCCCGGCCTCGGCCGAGAGGAGGGAGGGGGACTCACAGGACCGCGTAGCAGAGGTGGCATTCCCCGTTGTAGGTGACGCGGTCACTGCCACAGACGGGCTCGCTGGGCTTGGTGACGGAGACAAACCAGCACTGGTGGATTTCGTTGTTGCAAATGGCCTGAGGATGAGACATAGTGGTGCCTGCATCCGGGTCCTCCGGCTGTTCCCACCCCAGATGGTGGCTGTGAGTGATGGGGGTGTGTCATCTGATAGATAGGGCACCCCAATTCATCAGGAAAACAGCCATATTGTTTAAAAATCTTAGAACACGTATGTGAGTAGGGGATTACATTTCTTCTATGTGAATAGGGGGTTAAGTTTTTCTTAAGTTTCCTTTCCAAGGTCTGTGCCAGGCGATGGAGGAGGTGGCTCAGCTGTGACGCCAGCACGTAGAACTGATAAGCTGGGTCAGACCGACCCACCAGGAGTCAAAACCTCACCTCATCGCCATCAGCCCTCACCTCACCGTCTCATCGCCGTGGCCTCCTCACCTGGAGCCTAAGGACCATGGCTGCTGTCTGCACCCCAGGCCTGCACACAGCCTGCCCGCCCCTTCCCCACAGCCCTCCCCTGCACCTGCTGGAAGCCGGGGTGCATGGCTGTGAGCGCGGCTCCTTCATTGTGGGACAGCCGGCAGCCGAGCCCCCGCCCCTGGTGTCCGGGTAACCTCGTCACAGAGGGAATGTCTCTCAGGAGCATCACCCAGTGGCGTGTGTGTGGGGTGTGTGTGTATGTGTGTGCATGTGTGTGTGTGTGTGGGTATGTGGGGGGCGTCAGACAGCGGGGCTCAGGGCACAGGGCGTGAGGATGGAGACGGAGAGGGACAGAGCGGAACATCGGACCTTGTGTGTGGGAGGCAGGGCGTGTGCCAGCCGAGTGTCCCCCTCGCAAAGAATGTCCGCCAGGACGTCACGGCCGTCGCCCGTGCCACAGGCTGCCGTCCGCCCGCAGAGCCGCGCGAGGCCCCGGCTGAGGCCTGGGCAGCTGATGGCTCGGCTGGTGGGGGCATGATTCCCCGCTGCCCCCACCCCCCCACTCCCAGCAGAAGGCCGTCGGCTCGGCGCCCCCTGGCTGTTCCTCGGAGGCCGGGGGCAGCTCACCTGGGTCCCCCGGAGGCTGGCCCGGTCCCCGGTGGGAAGGAGGAAGTCTGGAAGACAGAACTCCCAGTTAGTCCTGCCCTGCCTCGCCTCAGGGAGCAGCGGGGCAGAGCTGGCTGGTCCCTGGGAGAGGCGGACCTTGGCCGGGCCTGGTGCCCCGGAGGGGGCAGAACCAGGGGCTCCCGCCTGCGCCCCACGTGAGAGACCCCCGGACACTTGGATCTTGTTTTTAATATTTTAGTCAAATGATTTCTACCTTTGGGACTGGGTTGTGGGATTCATTCACATTTAAAGTCTTATGATCTAGTTAGATTTGCATTTTATTTTGTTTTCCGTATGTCTCATCTCTTTTTGCTAACCTCTTCCTCTTTTGCTGCATTCAGTGAATATAATCCAGTGTTACATTGTAATTCCCATAATTTTTTCACCATTTTTCAGAATGCATATGTGTGTGTGTGTGTGTGTGTGTGTAGAAGATATATATTTGTATTGATTTCAGAGAGGAATGAAGAGGGAGAGAGGTAGAAATATCAGTGATGAGAGAATCATGGATCAGCTCGTCCTGCATGCCCCCCTCCTGGGAATCGAGCCCTCAAACCCAGGCCTGTGTCCTTGACTGGAATTAAACCCAGAACCCTTTGGTCCCCAGGCTGACGCTGTGTCCATTGAGCCGAAATGGCTAGGGCTAATGTTATGGGGTTTTTTAAATGGGGGCGGGGGGGGGGGGAGAGAAACATCGGCTGCCTCCTGCACACCCCCTCCTGGGGATCAAGCCCGCAACCCAGCCATGTGCCCTGACCGGGAATGGAACCAGCGACCTCTAGCTGCATGGGACAACGCCCGAGGCACTGAGCCAAACTGGCAGGGCCTGGGTGGTTGTAGTCGCTGCATTATTCCTTTCCACGGATAGCTAACTTATCAGAATGTGCCTCCCATTTACACTCTTAATTCCAGGGGCCTTTCGAAAGGTTGCTCCAGATAGCTCTATTCCTTCTTTCTTTTTTTGGTGGGGGGCATCCAGGCTGCCTCTGTAACGTGGAATTGGGGGTAAATAAGGCCAAATAGCATTCCCACAGCCGCCCCCCAACCCCCCACGCTCGGGGCAGACGGCAGGCCATGGGGCGCAGCGAGGACAGGGACTCACCCACGGCCAGGCCGGCCGGCGTGGAGCTGGCCAGCAGGAGGACGGCGCTCAGCAGGGCCCCCGGCACAGGCATGGCGGCGAGGAGCTGGGAACGAGGAGCCGTGAGGGACACGCTGTGCCCAGTGCGGACGTGGAGATGTCGCTGGCCAGACACCCAGCCACGCCCCGGGGCGGCCCTGTCCTGGCGTTGCTGGGAACGCACGGCGTCTGAGCCAATGAACTTGCCTCATTTTTTTTTTTAATATATCTTTATTGATTTTTTTACAGAGAGGAAGGGCGAGGGATAGAGAGTTAGAAACATCGATGAGAGAGAAACATCGATCAGCTGCTTCCTGCACACTCCCCACTGGGGATGTGCCCGCAACCAAGGTACGTGCCCTTGACCGGAATCGAACCCGGGACCCTTCAGTCCGCAGGCCGACGCTCTATCCACTGAGCCACACCGGTTTTGGCTGAACTCGCCTCTTTATTTGCTGAGGACATGCTGTAGGGAAAAGGATCTCCACAGGACTATGAGGAGCCAGAAAGGACACGTCCCAGTGTCTGCAGGGGCCTTGGCGGGAGCTCTGCACCGCCCCCCGGCCGGCCAGCTCTGGGCTGAGCGTCGACCTAGGAGCCAGGAGGTCACGGCTTGGGTCCTGGTCGGGCACAGGCCCAGGTTGTGGGCTCCATTCCTGTGGGAGCCCCTTTCATGTCCCTTGTGGTTCAGGGTTCCAGTTCAGGGTTCGGGTTCTAGAGAAGGCCCCACACAAATGAAAAGAGACTAGAAAAGTATTAATTTGGGAAATGGGGGGCCAGGCAGGAGCCCATCTCTAGGGGAGGACTACCCCTGCTCTGGCCTTGCCATCCCTTTTATTAAGGTTATAAGACACTCAGATCCTGTGGCAGGAAATCCCAATGAGAGCCAATCAGCAAGACTCTACATGTAACCAACAGGCGGAGGCAAGATTTTACATATAACCAACTACCAGTCTCAACTAAACATGAGTGATTAGTTCCGGCCGTTCAGAGCGATTAGGGTTGACCAGCCTCCCGATTCCCTGTTCACATTTCTGTTAGTGACAATGATCGGTTTCCGGCACATCCCCAGTAGGGGGCGTGCAGGAGGCAGCCGATCCATGATTCGCATCATTGATATTTCTTTCTCCTTCCTTCCTCTCTGAAATCAACAAAAGTATATTTAAAAAAAGAATAAGCACCAAAAATGTTTCGCTGAAACGTTGAGACGCTGGCACTTGCCTCTGAGGTAGGAAGGGCAGGCTCTAGAAGGTTCCGTGCCCAGGGAAGGCAGGCGGCGAGGAACAGGAAGGGACGGAACGCCCCCCCATCTCCCATCCTCCTCCTCACGATCCCTCTGGTGTTAACGTTCAGTAACCAATGACATGGCTGACTTCATGACGGAAATGTTATGGACCCGCCGATGGGCATTGCCTGAGGCTGCTGTACATTTTCCCATACGTTCCCGTGAAATGATCTATGCGGTCATTCCTACCCAAGACCTTCCCTGAGTGAAAATAAGTGATTGTTTCCTCCTCGAACGTCGGCCATGGGCAGGCACCTCACCTGCTGCGGCTGCGGTGGGACCGGCTGGGCCAGCTTCCTCCCAGGGTGTCCGCCCGGCAGTGCCAGCGTGACGGGCATGGCGTGACGGGCAGGACGCAGTGTTCCCGGCCTGGTGCGGGCACGGCCTTGACAGAAGCTGGCCCGCCGCCCCGAGCCTGGCTGCTGACCCCGCCTGCTGACCCCGCCTGCTGACCCCGCCTGCTGACCCCGCCTGCTGACCCCGCCGCTGACCCCGCCTGCTGACCCCGCCGCTGACCCCGGCTGCTGACCCCGCCTGCTGACCCCGCCTGCTGACCTCGCCTGCTGACCCTGCCTGCTGACCCCGCCTGCTGACCCCGCCTGCTGACCCCGCCTGCTGACTCCGCCTGCTGACCCCGCCTGCTGACCCCGCCTGCTGACCCCGGCCGCTGACCCCGCCTGCTGACCCCGCCTGCTGACCCCACCACTGACCCCACCACTGACCTCGGCCGCTGACCCCGGCTGCTGACCCCGCCTGCTGACCCCGCCTGCTGACCCCATCGCTGACCCCGGCCGCTGACCCCGGCCGCTGACCCCGGCCGCTGACCTCGGCTGCTGACCCCACCGCTGACCCCGGCTGCTGACCTCACCTGCTGACCTCGGCTGCTGACCCCGCCTGCTGACCCCGCCTGCTGACCCCGCCGCTGACCCTGGCTGCTGACCCCGCCTGCTGACCCCGCCGCTGACCCCGGCTGCTGACCCCGCCTGCTGACCCCGCCGCTGACCCTGGCTGCTGACCCCGCCTGCTGACCCCGGCCGCTGACCCCGCCTGCTGACCTCGCCTGCTGACTCCGCTGCTGACCCTGGCTGCTGACCCCGGCTGCTGACCCCGCCTGCTGACCCCGCCTGCTGACCTCGCTGCTGACCCCGCCTGCTGACCCCGCCGCTGACCTCGCTGCTGACCCCGCCTGCTGACCCCGCCGCTGACCCCGGCCGCTGACCTCGCGTTCCTGCTGCTGCTGTCTGAGGGGTTCCCATGTCCCCTGCGCCCCAGAACCCACTCGTCCTCGCCAAACCCCAGCAACAGCACAGCCGGTGTTCGGAGTCCAACTTTCTTTGTTAATCCTCACCCGAGGGTATTTTCCCATTTATTTTTAAAAAATGATTGCTGAAACCGGTTTGGCTCAGTGGAGCACCGGCTTCTAAAACCTCCGCCTACCTGTCAGCACAGAGGAAGCGCGGGGATGGGACTTCCAGTCCGCACTCAGAGAAGGGAAGGGACGGAAATCGTGTCTGTTTCCAGCGGGAGAATGAAGGCTGAGCTTCCCTCCCGCCGGCCCTGCGCCGGGTCCCGCAGGGCCGGCCCCAAGGCCTCGCGCTGGCCACAGGCCCAGGGCGCGCCCGCCCACCCCCTCCGACATAGTGTAACCCAATCTGTTTCCCAAACAAGCCTGCCTGTGGCTCCCAGTGAGTCAGAGACAGACCCTCCGTCAGAGGAATCGCAGCCATCGCCCGGAGAGACAGAGAACAGACACCCGACCCGCGGGCCTAATTCACTTACAGCCCGGCACAGGGCTCTGCGGGCGGAGAGCAAACCAGGAGCCGGAAGCGGCCGGCAAACCCATTAGTGCACAGAGCCAAATGCCGACAGGACAACGATGGAAATTTATTTATTTAAAATTTTTATTTTTTATTTTTTACAGAGACAAAGGGAGAGTTGGAGAGAGAGTTAGAAACATCAATGAGGCGAAACCGGTTTGGCTCAGTGGATAGAGCGTCGGCCTGCGGACTGAGGGGTCCCAGGTTCGATTCCGGTCAGGGGCATATATCTGGGTTGCAGGCACATCCCTGGTAAGGGGTGTGCAAGAGGCAGCTGATCGATGATTCTCTCTCATCGATGTTTCTAACTCTGTCCCTCTCTCTTCCTCTCTGTAAAAAAAAAAAAAAAAAAAAAAAAAAAAAAAAAAAAAAAAATCAATAAAATATATTTTAGAAAAAAAGAAAAAAGAGAAACATCGATGAGAGAGAAACATTGATGAGCTGCCTCCTGCACAGCCCCTACTGGGGATGTGCCTGCAACCAAGGTCCATGCCCTTGACCAGGAATCGAACCTGGGCCCTTTCAGTCTGCAGGCCAACGCCCTATCCACTGAGCCAAACCGGTTTCTGCTGAAATTTCTTTGGAGAGTCAAATCTTTGAAACTTAAACTCCTACTAACGCCACGTCTTCAAAATAGATTCGCCCAGGCCGTGGAATTTTGTGGAAGAGCCACACTCAAGGGGCCAAAGAGCCGCATGTGGCTCCAGAGCCGCCGTTTGCCGACCGCGGGGTTAGGGAGAACAGGGTGTGGAGACAGTGGTGAGCGGGGAGGGGAGTATGTGGGGGAAGCACGGGGCTCCAGGGCAAGAGGAGGGTCAGCAGCGACGAGAAATCTAGGCAACGCGGAGCACGAGGGTGAACGCAGGTGACTTCGGCGCCTCCTGGGACACAGCCAATGCCCGCGGGCCTGTCCCACCTGTGAACACGTCCGGCCTGAGACGCCGTGAGCGTCCAAGTGCAGACGTTCAGAAGAGAACAGGCTTGCCCGGCGGCGTGGCTCAGTGGCTCAGTGGCTCAGAGTTGACCCAGGAACCAGCAGGTCACGGTTGGATTCCCAGTCAGGGCACAGGCCTGGGCTGTGGGCTCCGTCCCCAGTGGGGGGCGTGCAGGAGGCAGCCGAAGTCACCTGCGTGCACCCTCATGCTCCGCGTTCTGTTACAGAAAACGGAAGAACAAGGCGATACCAGAGAGACGGAGTTACATCTATGACGTGCGGGACCAGAGGAAAATGGCTCTCAGATCCTGGCCCCCACATGCAGGAACTCTCCCTGTGTATGTGATTTTACCTTCCTCGTCTCCCAAATATGGGGTGTTCCCTGCCTGTTTTGCAAGTTCTTAAAGAGCCCGTATGTGCTGGGCCTCGAGACCTCCACCAGAGGCCTGGCGCCGCGCCGGCACTGACAACCTTGTCTGGGGAAGGTCCGACGGCCTCGCTGAAGGGGGAGTGGTCTTAGGAAGCAGGAACTCACAGAAGCCAATAGCAGGGTTAACATTTCTAACAGCAGTTTTCCCGTCCGATGGATGCGTCACCGCGATTCCCTCTCATCATGGATGTCTCTCTCTCTCCCTTCCTCTCCGAAATGAATAAAAAAATATATTTAAAAAGTGCCACCTTTCTTTAAAAAAAAAAATGAATGAATGAATGAATGAAATAACGAAGATTGGAGGAAAACCTGAGCTGGCGGCGGCAGCTGTCCGTGGGAGCGGGTCCATTGAGAACAGCGGGCAGCGGGCCTCGGCGGGCGGGGCGGGGCGGGGCACCTGCAGCCTGTTCCCCGCTGCAGCCGGGCGGGCGGCAGGTGGGCACCCTCCCGGCGGGCGGGCGGAGGCCAGGCCGGCCGTTAAATGCCGGGCGGCCTGCAGACCGGGAGGCAGCCCGGCCACGGCTCGGCCACGAGATGGAGGGGGAGGGGGAGGGGGAGATGGAGGTGGAGGGGTGGATAGAGGGGGAGGGGGAGGGGGAGATGGAGGTGGAGGCGCCGATGGAGGCGCCGGTGGAGGCGCCGGTGCCTCATGTGCCGCTGCTGCACATCTTCTCCTTCCTGGACGCCGCCAGCTTGCTGCGGGCGGGCCAGGTGAGCAAGGTGAGTGTGTGTGTGTGTGTCCTCCCCCCCCCCCCCCCCCCCCCGCGCTCTGCCCGCCCCGCTCCTGCTCCCGGCCTCCCGCCCCAGCACCCCCCCACGCCGCCTTCCTCTGCCCCCTAACGTGGCCGCTCAGGCCCACACGCCCGTGTCCGTGGGAGTCGGGCCATGTGGGTGCCGGTGAGCGGACAGCAGGGGCCCGTGGCCGTCGGCCGGCATCCCTCACCCCCGGCCGTCCTGTGCCACGAACACGACCACGGGAGCCGGGAGCCGGGCGGACGGACGCCAGCCCAGGCAGCCCCCAGGGTCCCGGCGGGCCTGTCCCGCGGCGGCCGCACTGACGCCCCCACGTCCGTCCGCGGCCCCCACGTCCGTCCGCGGCCCCCACGTCCGTCCGCGGCCCCCACGTCCGTCCGCGCCCGCCGGGCAGCTGGGGGCCGGAGGCTCGCTGCCCCCTGGGCCGTGCTCCGAGGGAGCTGGAGAGGAGGGGCCGCTGGGTCCCAGCCGCCTGCTTCTCCCTTCTCTCCCCAGTACTGGAACAGGATGGCCGATAACGAGAGCCTGTGGAGGTGCGGCCGGGAGGGGGAGATGGAGGGGGCGGGGAGGGAGGGGGAGATGGAGGGGGGCGGGGAGGGAGGGGGAGATGGAGGGGGGCGGGGAGGGAGGGGGAGATGGAGGGGGCGGGGAGGGGGAGGGGGGGGGAGGGAGGGGCCGGGGAGGGGGAGGGGTGGGGAGGGAGGGGGCCGGGGCCGGGCCGGGCGGCCCTGACGCTGCGCCTCCCCAGGCGCCTGTGCCGGAGCAGGTGGCCGGGGCGCTGGGCGGCCCCCCAGGAGCTCCGGTGGAAGCAGTTGTTCCTGGCGCACGGCCGGCGGGAGCTGCGGATGGCGCGGGCCCGGCCGCAGGACTTCTCCTACCGCGAGGCCCGGGGCAGGCTCGGTGCGGGCAGCGCGGCCACGGGGAGGCTCGCACGGGTTTGGGTGGTGTGCACACTCTGCGTGTGTGCCCGGGCGTGTGCACACGTGTGTGTGTGCACACTCTGCGTCTGTGCCCGCGCGTGTGCACACGTGTGTGTGTGCACACTCTGCGTCTGTGCCCGCGCGTGTGCACACGTGTGTGTGTGCACGTGTGTGTGTGTGCGTGTGTGTGTGCGCGTGTGTGTGCACATGTGTGTGTGTGCACGTGTGTGTGCACGTGTGTGTGCGCGCGTGTGTGTGTGCACGTGTGTGTGCACGTGTGTGTGCACGTGTGTGTGCACGTGTGTGTGTGTGTGTGCACGTGTGTGTGTGCACGTGTGTGTGTGTGTGTGTGTGTGCGCGCGCGCGCACTCGGAGGGAAGACGTAACGGGACTGGGCTGCTGTAATGATGGGACTGACCCCGTCCCGTCCCACCCCCCCGTCCCGCCCCCCGTCTCGCCCCCGGTGCTGCCTGGAGGAGCCGGCGTGATCTTCCCACACATAACGCCGGCCCTGACTCCCTTTCCCACAGGCTCCCCGTCCCTCTGAGAACACACGTTTTAAAGGAAAAGAAACATTTACTTATTTTCACTGACTTCAGAGAGGAAAGGAGAGATAGAAACATCGTGATGAGAATCATGGATCGGCCGCCTCCTGCCCGCCCCCTTAGTGGGGACGGAGCCTGCAGCCCGGGGCCTGGGCCCTGACCGGGACCCTCTATCCACCCGGCTAGGACCCGGCGAATAGTTGTCAATCCCCATTTTGTATCTCTGGAAACAGGTTAAGGAGGCCGGTGGGTGCCCCGGAGGCTGGGGGCGTGGCCAGGCCGCCCAGAGCCCCTCCCCGGGCCCCGCCCGCGGCGCCGGGGCCAGCCGCCTGCTTGCCTTCCAGGAATCCTGAAGCCGATGGCCTACCTCACAGGGAACGACCCCACGCAGAGCGGACAGCGGTCCATCCTGTGCTCGGCGTCCACCCGGCGCATGCTCTTCGCCTGGGACGTGCAGGAGGTGAGCGCCGGTCCGCCCGCAGGCCGGGCGGGAGGGGGCCCGACAGCGCGGGAACCGCTTCCCACCGGGTCTTACCGTCCGCACCGTCCCACCTCCGCTCAGCCTGGAGCAGGTGGAGAATTCGCTTTTCGAATGTCCCACCCTCCCCTAGGACATGCTTCCCGTTGATTTTTTTATTGATTAATTTTTTAAAAATATATATATTTTATTGATTTTTTTACAGAGCGGAAGGGAGAGGGACAGAGAGTTAGAAACACCGATGAGAGAGAATCATCCATCAGCTGCCTCTTGCACACCCCCTACTGGGGATGTGCCCGCAACCACGGTACATGCCCCTGACCGGAACCGAACCCGGGACCTTTCCGTCCGCAGACCGACGCTCTATCCACTGAGCCACACCGGTTTCGGCTATTGATTAATTGTTTTAGAAAGAATGAAAGGGAGCGGATGGAAGGGGAGAGAGAAACATCTGTGAGAGAGAGACATGGGCAGGTTGCCTCCTGGTCAAGGGCGCACACCTCCGTGCAGGCTCCTCCCCAGCCCGGACCCTTCGGCCCGCAGGCCGACGCTCTGCCCGCTGAGCCACCCGGGTGGGGGGCTCCCTAACCCTCCTCTGTGCAGGCCCCTCCCGGCCCCTCACGTGGCCACGATGCAGCAGACCTTCCTCCGCTCTGCTCCTGCAGAAGGAATGCCCTCCTCCCCCTGACCCCTGCCCTCCTCCCCTGACCCCGCCTCCTCCCTGACCACGCCTCCTCCCTGGCCCCGCCTCCTCCCCTCCCCCGCCCTCCTCCCCCTCCCCCGCCCTCCTCCCCCTGACCCCCGCCCTCCTCCCCCTGACCCCTGCCCTCCTCCCCTGACCCCGCCTCCTCCCCCCTCCCCCCGCCCTCCTCCCCCCCCTCCCCCGCCCTCCTCCCCCTGACCCCCGCCCTCCTCCCCCCTGACCCCCCGCCCTCCTCCCCCTGGACCCCCCACCCTCCTCCCCCCTGACCCCCCGCCCTCCTCCCCCTGACCCCCGCCCCCTCCCCTGACCCCCGCCCCTTCCCTGATCCCCCGCCCCCCTCCCTGATCCCGCCCCCTCCTGACCCCGCCCCCTCCCTGACCCCCGCCCCTCCCCTGACCCCCCGCCTTCCTCCCACTGAGACGACCCCCGCCCCCTCCCCCTGACCCCTGCCCTCCTCCCCCTGACCCCTGCCCTCCTCCCCCCTGACCCTCGCCCTCTCTCTCCACCTGACCCCCCGCCCTCCTCCCCCTTACCCGCCCCCCCCGCCCCCCGCCTCCTCCCCCCTGACCCCCGCCCCTCCTCCCCCCTCCCCCCGCCCTCCTCCCCCTGCCCCCCAGCCCTCTCCCCCCCCCGCCGTCCTCTCCCCTGGCCCCCGCCTCCTCCCCCTGACCCCACCCCGCCTCCCTCTCCTGACCCCCCCTCCTCTCCCCCTCCCCCCGCCCTCTCCCCTGAACCCCCCCACCTCCTCCCCCTGCCCCGCCTCTCCCCCGTCCCCGGTCCCCCGCCCCCCCTCCCTCTGGCCCCGCCTCCTCCCTGACCCCGCCTCCTCCCTGACCCCGCCTCCTCCCTGGCCCCGCCTCCTCCCTGGCCCCCGCCCTCCTCCCCTGGCCCCGCCTCCTCCCTGACCACGCCTCCTCCTGACCACGCCTCCACCCTGGCCCCGCCTCCTCCCCTGACCCGCCTCCTCCCTGACCACGCCTCCTCCTGACCACGCCTCCTCCCTGGCCCCGCCTCCTCCCCTGACCCGCCTCCTCCCTGGCCCCGCCTCCTCCCTGGCCCCGCCTCCTCCCTGGCCCCGCCTCCTCCAGGGCACCATGGTCTGGGCCAGCCCGGTGCAGCAGTCCACCATCATGTACCTGGCCACCCTGCCCGAGCGGGCGCTGGCCGTCACCGTGGACCATCAGGACACCGTGAAGGTGTGGAACTGCCAGGAGGCGGACGCGCTGGCCACGCGCAGCCTGCCCAAGCCCTGCCTCTCGCTGGACGCCTTGGTGGTGGACGGCGGCGCGGTGGCCGTGGTGAGCCCGCGCCTCCCTCCCGCCTGCCTTCTTTCTGTTTTCATTACTTTGTGAGAGGAACCCTTACCAGGCCCCAGAGGCGCGGTGCACGGAATCCACGCAGGGCCTCGGCCCTCGCAGCCCCGGCCTCGCCCAGAAGGACGTCCGGGCGGGGGTGGGGCCGCCGGTCCCGATAGCAGATGGTGCGTTTGTGGTTGTTACCACGGAGAATGTGGGCACGTGTCTCCCACGCGGCGGGCGCGCTCTGCGGACGGTTCCTCTGGCCGAGCAGCAGCCTTTATTCCGGTGTCGGCCCCTCTGGGACGGCGGTGGGCGAACCGCGGCTCTTTGCCCCCGAGTGTGGCTCTCCCACCAAGTGCCGCAGCCGTGCGGTGGGCCCGTGCGCCGAGCTCCTCCGGCTCCCAGGCCGATGCTCCACCCGGAGCAGCCGGTCAGGCATTCCCTGCGTACCCTCCCCGGAGGCCGTCTTCCGCTGACCCTCTTTAGACAGAGTGGAAGGGACGGGGAGCGATCCATGTGAGAGAGACCTCAATGGGCTGCCTCCGGCACACACTCCCCCCGGGCGGGGAACCTGCAACCGAGGTGCAACCCGGGACCCTTCAGGCCTTGGGCGGGAGCTCTATCCACTGAGCCACACCTGCCAGGGCTGCCGGTCTCCTGAGGCCGCAGCCCCAGTGCCACGGCCGCCTCTGGGCCCCTCTCCTCTGACACGGAGCCGCCGGGATTCCTTCGTCCCCCATTTCCTGTCCCGTGTGTCTGATCGCGGGGACGTGAGCTGGGGCAGGCGCACTTAGGGAGCGGCGAGGGCTGGGGCGTGGGAAGAGAGCGGAGGGTCGTGTGCGAGGGCTCAGGCCCTCGGAGCCCCTGGGATGGTCCCCCGGACCCCGTGGGCCAGGCTGGCCAGCGGAGTTCGTCTCCCTCTGGGAGTGAAGAAACGGTGGCGCCGCCCTGGCCGGTGTGGCCCAGCGGATAGAGCATCAGCCTGTAGAGCACATGTGTCAAACACAAGGCCCGCGGGCCACATCCGTCCCGCCAGGCCTTGCAATGTGGCCCGCACCGCGCTGTCATCACTGCACTCCGCTGCGTTTCCATCACAGTGACAGTTTATGACTGTTCAGTAAACCATTCGGCCCGCGATTTAGGCTGGATTTTAGATTTTGGCCCCTTCTCTGATTGAGTTCGACACCCCTACTGTAGAGGATTCTATTCTGGTCAGGGCACTGCCAGGTTGTGGGCTCGATCCCCAGTGTGGGGCATGCAGGAGGCAGCTGGCCTATGGTTCTCTCTCCTCATTGATGTTTCTCTCTCTCTCTTTCCCTTCCTCTCTGAAATCATAAAAACATATTTTAAAAAAAGAGACAGCTGAGACCGGTTTGGCTCAGTGGATAGAGCGTTGGCCTATGGACTGAAAGGTCCCAGGTTCAATTCCGCTCAGGGGCATGTACCTTGGTTGTGGGCACATCCCCAGTGGGGGGTGTGCAGGAGGCGGCTGATCGGTGTTTCTCTCTCATCGATGTTTCTAACTCTCTGTCCCTCTCTCATCCTCTCCGTAAAAAATCAATGGAATATATTTTTTAAAAAAGAAAGAAAGACAGACAGACAGACATGGTGGCCCGCCCCACCCCGGCTGCCTGGCTCTCGGTTCCGGCCGTGACAAGGGGTGCGCGTGGCTGCTTGCAGGTGGGCGACTCGGCAGGCGACATCCACACGCTGACGGTGCCTGGGCTGGAGCACCTGTCCCGCGTCCACGCCTTCGACCACACGGTGAACCACCTGCACTGCTCGCCCAACGGGAAGTGGGTGTTCGCCGGCGCCACCCTCCAGCTCATGATGCCCAAGGTGGGCCGCCTGCGCTCGGCTGGGCTCCGGGGTCAGGGCGGGGGGAGGCGGGGAGGCCCGGCCAGGAGCGCCATCAGGAGGGAGGGCCGGGCCCTGGCCGGTTGGCTCAGTGGATAGAGCCCTGGCATGTGCCCTTGACCAGAATCGAACCCGGGACGACTGGCCGCAGGCCGATGCTCTCTCCACGGAGCCCCAGAGGCCGGGCGTGGGAGCGGGGAGCTCAGGGAGGCGGCCAGCGGACCGGCCCTTGGCCTGTCTCTGCGGAGGGGCACCTCCCGCCCTGATGGGGGTCCGGTGGCCACGGGCAGCGCCCGGAGGGGGCGCGGGGACTCTGTGTGCGTGGACCTGAGGGCCGGCAGGGCGAGCGTGAGCTGAGGACAAAGGCCTCCTGCGGCTCACGGAGGGGAGGGGAGAGGGAGACGCACACGAGGGCGAGTCCTGGGTCAGCTGCCCCACGGCGGAGGAGCCGCAGCCGGACATGTGCCCTGACCGAGCGGAGGGGGAGGGACAGAGTGGGGACCCGGGGCCTGCAGTGGAGGGGGCTCTGGCCCCCGGCCCGGCTGGGCGGGCAGGGGCGGGGGTGGAGGAGGGCTTCCCGGCCTCGCCTCGCCTCCGCCCGGCAGCCCGCCCCGCCCTGCCCTCCCCCAGGTGTTCGCAGCCCAGTTCCTGCTCAGGCCTCAGGCCGGGGAAGACTCCCGCCAGTGGGCCTCCCTCCCACTCGCCTTCTGCAGCCAAGCCTGCTGGGCCCGGCAGCGCGCCAGCCGCGTGACCATGATGATCCAGCAGTCCTCCTTCAGGCGGACCGGCTTCAGCACCTTCGACCTGGCCGCCAGGACGGCCGCCGACGGGGCCGCCGTGGTGGAAGGTGGGCCGGGCTCTCGGCGGGAGGCCTGGCCGATGCGCGTTATTTCTAAAGCTAGAGGCCCGGGGCACGGAAACGGTGCACGGGTGTGTGTGTGTGTCCCTCAGCCCAGGCTGCACCCTCTCCACTCTGGGACATCCCTCTCACAATCCAGGGCTGCTGGCTCCCAACCGCTCGCCTCACTGCCAGCCTGATCACCCCTAACCGCTTCTGCCTGCCAGCCTGATCGCCCCTAACCGCTTCTGCCTGCCAGCCTGATCGCCCCTAACCGCTTCTGCCTGCCTGCCTGATCACCCCTAACCACTTCCCTGTGAGCCTGATCGATGCATAACTGCTCCCCTGTCGGCCCAATTGCCCCTAACTGCCCTTCCCTGCTGGCCTGGTCTCCCTCAACTGCCCTCCCCTGCCAGCCTGGTTGCCCTTAACTGCCCTCCCCTGCAGGCCATCTTGTGTCCACATGGGGGCAGCCATTTTTGACCACATGGTGTGGCCATCTTGTGTTGGAGTGATGGTTAATTTGCATATTACTTTTATTCGATAGAATAATTTTTACTGATTTCGGAGACAAAGGGAGAGGGAGAGAGAGAAACATTAAGGATGAGAGGGAATCATGACCAGCTGCCTTCTGCAGGCCCCACACTTGGGATCGAGCCCACAACCCAGGCAAATGCCGTTGACCAGAATCGAACCCTGACCTCCTGGTCCCTGTGCCGCCGCTCAGCCCTGAGCCCCTCGGCGGGCGGGCGGGCGGGTGTCTGTGCGTCTGTCTCTCCGTCCAGGGTGAGGACGTGGTTCTGACTGCGCGAATTTTCCCCGAAAACAGCCCACCAGGTGGCGAGCTTCATGCTGCCGAACAGGATGGAGCGGCCGTTCCAGATGGGGGTGCAGGACGGGGCCGCCATCGTGCTGCAGAGCGGCTCGCACCTGCTGCTCTTCTCCATCCAGGGCACACTGCTGCAGCGCTTCGACCACCACCAGCGGCACATCTGCCACCTGTGGACGGTGCGTGGGCCTGCCCCGCGGCTCCGGGGGGCGCTCCCCGCTCCCCGCTCCCCGCTCCCCGCTCCCCGCTCTCCGCCGCCCCGTCTCCCCGCTCCCCGCTCCCCGCTCCCCTCACCCCGCTCCCCGCTCCCCGCTCCCCGCTCCCCGCTCCCCGCTCCCCGCTCCCCGCCCTCCCGTCCCCCCGGGCTCCGGGCTCCGCTCCCCGCTCACCGCCGCCCCGTCCCCCCGGGCTCTGGGCTCCGCTCCCCGCTCCCCGCTCCCCGCTCCCCGCTCCCCGCTCCCCGCTCCCCGCTCACCGCCGCCCCGTCTCCCCGGGCTCCGGGCTCCGGGGGGCGCTCACCGCCGCCCTCCCCGCAGGACGCGCTGCACGTGGTCACCACGGCCATGGACGACTTCCTGCACCTGTACGTGTGGGAGGAGGGCGGCCTGGGCCCGCGCCTCCGCAGCTGCTGCCACCTGGAGCAGCGGCGCGCCGACCCCACGCCCAGCTGGTGAGCCCTCGCCGCCGAGGCTTCAGGCGTCTGTGAGGCAGAGGGTCCTGGGGTCTCTGCCCGGCCGGGGCGGCTCAGCGGGTAGACCATCCATCAGCCCGCGGACTAAAGGTCCCGGGTTCGATGCCAGTCAGGGCTCACGCCCAGGCTGTGGGCTCGATCCCCAATGGGGATGTGCAGGAGGCAGCCGATCAATGATTCCCTCTCATCATTGATATGTCTCCCTCCTCCCTCCCTCCCCTTCCCCTCTGAAATCGGTGAACATTTAAGAAGTAAACAAACCCCCACAGCAGTCCGAGGTCCCTGCCGTGCGCTGAGGCTGCTCTTCCTCGCAGCTTCCCCTCCTACTCGGTCTGCGACAACGCCAGCGTGGTGTGCGTGGTGACCCGGAACCGCGAGACCAGCGTGCTGGTGATGTACTCCCTGCCGCCCTGAGGCCGGCCGAGCTGCTGGCGGGATCGCCTCCCCCCGGCCTCCTCCCTCGCCCTCCTCCCTGCAGCCCAGTAAAGGGTTCTGTTTGCAAACCCAGGCGGTCGTGTCAGTGATATTGTAGAAATGGGCGTGATGGCCCCATCCATCAGACCCGGGCCAGCTCACAGGTCCAACACTCGGACCCGGACCAGCCCACAGGCCCCACGCTCACACCCTGGGCCGCTCACAGGCCCCACGCTCACACCCTGGGCAGCCCACGGGCCCCACGCTCACACCCCGGACCAGCCCACAGGCTCCACGCTCACACCCTGGGCCGCTCACAGGCCCCACGCTCACACCCTGGGCCGCTCACAGGCCCCACGCTCGGACCCCGGACCAGCCCACAGGCCCCACGCTCACTCCCCGGACCAGCCTGCAGGCCCCACGCTCGGACCCCGGACCAGCCCACGGGCCCCACGCTCACACCCTGGGCCGCTCACAGGCCCCACGCTCGGACGCAGGAAGGTGGAAAACGTCCCCCTGGCCCGCACATAGGGGAGCGTGGGACACTGAGGGCGGGGACGTGGCCGGCCGCACAGACACGGTTCCGGATGGTTCTGCGGGCACCTGCTCGGGAAGGGGGTTAGGCTGATGCTGGTTCAGGGGAAGGCCCCTGCGTCTGCTCGTCAGTGTTCTAGCCGGCGAGCAACCGAGGGACGTCCTGGGAACCGTGAGCCACGGGAGGGGCACTGGGAAAGTGGACATTTATATACGTATATACAAATCTTATTGATGCCAGAGAGGAAGGGAGAGGCAGAGAGACATCCATGATGGGAGAGGATCACTGATTGGCCGCCTCCTGCACGTCCCCCACTGGGGCTTAAGCCCACTACCTGAGCATGTGCCCCTGACCGGAACCAAACCCGGGACCCTTCAGGCCACAGGCTGATGCTCTATCCACTGAGCCACACAGCCAGGGTGTAAAATACAGAGGTTGATACTGACATGTACAATAGCTAAGAGACTCAGAATAAAAACGCTCCAAAGGACTGAGAAACACAGAACACATCGAAGGCTCACGCGCAGGCACACCCCACAGGAATGGGCCTGAGAACGAGCTGCCCCCCCGCCCTCTCCCACCCGTCCACCCCCCGTCCTGGCAGCGAGCGACTCCCCCAAACCAAGCCTAGAAGCCGGGGTCCACTCCCCTGACCTTGGGGCGGGCAGGGGGCGGACAGATGGGCGGATGACGGAGATGGTGCTCTGGTGGAAGTGTCTCCCGGAGCCTCCAGAGGCCGTGGGTGTGAGGTGGGCCTCCCGCCCCCTCTGTGGGCAGCGGGCCAGGAGCCCGGGAGGGAGGGGCGGGGAGGGAGAGCCTGGGAGGGAGGGGCGGGGAGGGAGAGCCCGGGAGGGAGGGGCGGGGGCGGCCCGGGGTGGAGCCGGCGCAGGGAGGCCTGGAGGCTGGCTGGCTGGCTCTGACCCGAAGGCCCAGCTCCCTGGAGGCGGCCATGGGGAGCGGACGCGGAGGCCAGGCGGGAGGTGTGGACTCACACCTAACACGGATGAAGGGCAATGGCGAGAGGAATTGTTCTTCAGCAAAGGAGCAAAAGACGCATGTTTTTTAGACCTATGTGTCTTTTGTTGTTTTTTAAATATATTTTATTGATTTTTAAGAGAGGAAGAGAGAAGGTTAGAGAGTTAGAAACATCGATGAGAGAGAAACATCCATCAGCTGCCTCTTGCACACCCCCTACTGTGCCCGCAACCAAGGTACATGCCCTTGACCGGAATCGAACCCGGGACCCTTCAGTCCCCAAGCCGACGCTCTATCCACTGAGCAACACCGGTCTTGGCATTGTTTCTAACTCTCTATCCTCTCTGTGGAAAAAAAAAAAATAAATAAAAATAAAAATAAAAAAGGTCTAGGACCCAAATATAGTCTGAGCCCCAGATGTTGGTCTGGGTCCTTGGAGGGCAGTTCGGGCCAGGGATTGAGTTCTGGGCCTCGGGGGACAGTCTTTTTTTAATTTTTTATCTAAGAAGTGAATTTTCTTTATTAAAAAAAAAACAAGTGATCACATGGTGAAATGTGGGAGATGTAATGGTGGATTTTCTATTTCCCACAGCGGGTAGAATGATATTTTAAAGCACCTGGAGACACAGAAACATAAAACGTATTTAAATACTGCTGCATCTTCCTCCAAAATACAGCAATTTTCTTGGGAAAACAACTTATGGGGACGAAGAAAAGAAATCAGCATTAGCAGAAGGACGTCTTTTCATGCTGTTAACATACAGACCAAATTTTTAATCAAGAACCATCCCCCGTCCCCGGTCATTGGTGTCCGGCTTTACCAAAGTTACAATCTGGCCCCCTCTCCTCTCTGAAATCAGTGAACATTTTAGAACTAAACAAACCCCACAACAGCCCCATCTCCCAGGCCCTTCCACACGCACCACCTGGCCCCCAGCAGCCGAGCGGCCACCTGTTAATCAGGGCCCGGGGGCTCTGTGTGCGGAAGGTGCTCAGTGAAAACCACTGGGACCTGCTCCGGGCCAGCCCGGTTTCCTGATGGAGCCCCCCACCGGCCCCTCAGGAGGCGGGGACCCCCTTTCCCTGATGGAGCCCCCCCACACCGGCCCCTCAGGAGGCGGGGACCCCCTTTCCCTGATGGAGCCCCCCCACACCGGCCCCTCAGGAGGCGGGGACCCCCTTTCCCTGATGGAGCCCCCCACCGGCCCCTCAGGAGGCGGGGACCCCCTTTCCCTGATGGAGCCCCCCCACCGGCCCCTCAGGAGCCCGGGGACCCCGGTTTCCTGATGGAGCCCCCCACCGGCCCCTCAGGAGGCGGGGACCCCCTTTCCCTGATGGAGCCCCCCACACCGGCCCCTCAGGAGGCGGGGCGGGTGCGGGAGCCCAGTGACCGGGCGGTCCCGGGGAGGGAAAGCCCGGCCGGATGGGGAGGAGGAAGGGCACCCGGAGGAGGGGCTGCAGGTGCGAAGGCGGAGGCGGGAAGAGCCGGGCTGGGAGCTGTGGGGTGGGGGGCGCCGGCCGGGAACCCTGCGGGGAGGCCCCGCCTCCGTCCCGGTGCCACGCTCGCGTGGTCACGTGGCCCGCCCCCTGATCACGCGCTCATTTACGGCTGTCCACGCGCTCACTGACGGCTGTCCACGTGCTCACTGACGGCTGTCCACGCGCTCACTGACGGCTGTCCACGTGCTCACTGACGGCTGTCCACGCGCTCATTGACGGCTGTCCACGCGCTCATTTACGGCTGTCCACGCGCTCACTGACGGCTGTCCACGTGCTCATTTACGGCTGTTCACGCGCTCATTTACGGCTGTCCACGCGCTCACTGACGGCTGTCCATGTGCTCATTGACGGCTGTCCACGTGCTCACTGACGGCTGTCCACGTGCTCATTTACGACTGTCCACGTGCTCACTGACGGCTGTCCACATGCTCACTGAGCTCACTGACAGCTGTCCACACGCTCACTGACGGCTGTCCACGCGCTCAGTGACGGCTGTCCACGTGCTCACTGACGGCTGTCCACACGCTCACTGACGGCTGTTCAGATGAGGTAAGACTCCCCCCGGGGGCAGTCTTGGGACCCCATGTGGCCATCTGGGGTATGGAATGTGGTCTGGGTTACAGGTGGAGAACTACACTCCTGATACAAGACTGTATTGTGTTTTTGAGGCCTGGGCCTAGGGTAAGGTGACCAGACGGCCCGCTTTTGGCGGGACAGTCCCGATTTTTAACAATTTGTCCCGCGTCCCGCAGTGTTTTAAAAAAGTCCCGCTCTTTGGAAAGAAGGCACAAGCTAGGGGACGGCGGGAGAACGGGAAGGGAATACGGCTTTCGGCGGCCACATGGCTAGCCAGGATATGAGCTTTATATTATTTTTGTTAATTTTATAAAATTAAACTTTAATAATAATAAATAACTGTTGAGAACGGGTTATCGAGAACTGCTTATCAAAGTTCGCATTGTTGACCAGTTGTTAGAATTTGACCAGCATTTGGACTTAATGAACAATGGCATTTTTTGGGATTGGCAAGGACGAAAACGTTTTGAAACTGTCTCTCAGACGATACCCATCGTACTGCGTGCTAGTAGCTAAACAAGTGATGCCATTACAAATCAGCTGTTCAGATAATTTAGGTAAGTTGTTTATTTACTTCACAAATACATAAATTTTCTTGAATTTAGCAGACAGTACTCATATTATTTATATTTTATAGTGGCGGCAAAGAGTCTAGCTCCGGCCTTGAAAGTGACACGACTATACATAATTTTTATTTATTATATTTGTAAATTGTACTTATGTTAAAATTTTAAAAAATACATTACAGTACTATTTTTGTGTTCTATGAAAATTTTTGTTGCTCCATATAGACCAAATTTTTAATCAAGAACCCCTCCTCCCAGTCAGTGGTGTCCCACTTTACTAATGTTGAAATCTGGTCACCTTAGCCTAGGAATAATCTCGGCTCCACCCTGATGGTCTGGACCCGGATGTAGCCGCAGGTGTAGGTCCTTTGGCTGACCCTGGATGTAGGTCTGAGGCCCAGGTGTAGGTCTGTTGTCTCTGAGAGAGGTGATGTCACTAGGGGGCGCTGTGGGCACAGGTGCTAGGTTTGGGTCCAGGGCAGGACCTGGGGATGAGGAACGTGTGGTTCGGACTCGCCCTGATATTTACACTCCATGGTAGGGATAGGCAATGGGTTCCAGTCTGGGACTCCAGAATGGCCTTCTGGTCCAAGCTATAAAGGTCAGGGCCCCGGTGGATACCGATTTCGCTCAGGGGAGAGAGCCTCGGCCTGGGGACTGGAGGGTCCCAGGTTCAATTGCCTTCAGGGGCATGTACCTTGGTTGTGGGCACAGCCCCGATGTGGGGTGTGCAGGAGGCAGCTGATCGATGGTTCTCATCATGTTTCTAACTCTCTATCCCACTCTCTTCCTCTCTGTGGAAAAAACAAAAACAAAAATCATAGAAAAGGTGAACCCCAGATGTAGGT